ACTTACATCATTCCCCCTTTGCCCCTCCGAAAGCTAACTTGCCTCCATTCCCCGCAAAATACGGCGACGACACACACAACTCCAAAGCTGACTTACATCATTTCGGAAGCTGACTTGCCTCCCTTGCAGCCCTGGAAGCTAACTTGCCCCCGCCCCCCAAAAAAAGAAAGCAGACAACAACGCAACACACCCAACTTCAAAGCTGACTTTTTTATTCCCGCGTGCCACTGTCGTAGCGCCCACTTGGCCAGTTAAAAACGAGCCAAGAAGGTTTCGGATATTAACGAAACAACCCCAGCCTCCAGCGCTATTCACAGTAGAGGCGAAAAACCCGGGGTCCTGTAACGGAAACAGGGGAACCCAAACAGACCAGCCACCACCAAAACAAAAACCCACACATCACACATGCAAAGTCGGCACAGGCATAGAGTGAATGTTGCGAGCGCCTTGCACAGCACTGATGAAGTCAAGCATACTGCCAGTGCTATCACGTGAAATACGCATATTAATGCCAGCAAGTTTAATGGGGCAGCCAAAAGTGCGTGGACTCGCACAAGAAGTCAGCCTACCACAAGGCAGCACCGGGCCAACAAGCTTATCCAAGGCAAACAGATGTCTCTTGAAACAGCGAAAATCAGCAAGCGTATTTCTAGGTATAAGTCTCACCTCTGGGTTACGGCTCTCGTGACACCAAAGTTTATTGACAAGCAAAGGCGGACGACACTTCCTGTCAAAAGCGGCGTGCCAGAAGACTTCAATCCATGAAGTATCAGACAGGCTCGGCACGGACGTGTGCGGTACCCACTTTAGGGAAATACACCAAGCCGCCAGCATGCGGACATAGTCAAGCATCAACCGTGGGCAACGAAGCTCCAAGCCAGGGATCTGGAAGGTTGTCCAGGGTGGCAATCCTTGCAGGGACAAGTAATTCCAGTTTTGACGCACAGGCTCCGCGGTGGAGGTAGCAACTGGATCAGCATTACTGACATGCTTGGCAACTTGCAAGTGGTACTTAACCAGCAATGTATAGCTACGGACACACCCACCAGCTTCGTCAACAAAAGTCTTGCGCGGATGAAAAGCTTCACGCCACTCGCGCAATGCTTTTTTGGCAGCTGCATCAACGATGTCATTATACAAAGCTTGCCATTGTGACTTTCCAGTGCACGTGCGCCAATTGACATGTCCCTTAACCCAGTGCACTGAGCTACCAGGGGACAAACCTTTCGCCGCACCATAAATCATGCACCACAAGTCAACATTTTGGCGAAAGGTTGGGCACGGGGCACCGCGGTGTAGATGGTCAAGAATGGCCTGAGCTCCATCAACAAACACCTTGCAATCGCTATACACGCTGGCCTTACTAGCGGCTGAAAAGGCAACGTATCCAGCCAACATCTCCGCACGAACCACATTCTGATTACTGGTAGGGAGTGCCCCTTTCCAAAACAACTCCCAGTCACCAAACTGAGCAGAATTGCCGAAATGAGGCACCTGGATGACAGCGGCAGCTGCCAATCTCCACCACGGTCGTTGTGGAAAGCAAGCACTGGCATCTGTAAAAAGAATCCATGGCTCCACAACGTCAGTACGCGGTATCACAGGCCATGGAACCCGGTCCAGGAAAGCTAACATGTCAAGCAAACTTTGAGGAATTTCCTGCAGGCAATAAAGTTTGGCTATGTTAGGCAACTGCGGCCACAATGTGAAAAGCTCCGACTGAGCCTTGCGGACGGATTCCAATGCAGGGCAAGAGGCAAATCGATGCTCACGGGAATCAAATTGGCCGCACAACTTGCATCTGTCGTCGGGAGACCAGTGACGGTAGAAATCAGCTGTGAAACTGGCACCTACCTGCACTGCAAACAGGTATGCAAGTTCCTCCTGAGAAAGGGATGCATGTACAGATGCAGATTGGATCCAAATGCTTTGCAAATCCTGCAACGATTTACGATGCGCAATTTTGGGAGCAATGTAACACCCCCAAGCAAGTTCGATGATTCTACGGACATGTTTCGAGGTTGAGGTGCTCAAATGCAATTTCACACCTTGCCACTGGAAAGAGTCGCGAAAGCAATGGACGAAACCGAGTTTGAGGAGGTCCGCATGCAGAAGTGAACCAGCACCGCTCATCTTAGGGTTTGGGGTGGTCAGCGAATGAACAAACCGATCAGCGAACATGGGAACGTGGCGACAAAAATTACGATAATTTAGAACCCGGTTAATTGCAACTTGAAACTCGAGATCAAGGCAACCTAGCGTGGTCGCAGCACCAACAAGCCAGGGGCTAGCACCTTGTGGAGCTTTCATTGCCGTTCGCAAATCTGCAAAAACCGTTTTTCCCAGCTTCATAATTTCGGCACCATGCAGAGCCTGGGTCCAAACCCCCTGTTTAACCAGCCTGGCTCGAAAGCGCCTGCCGGTAGGCACAAAGCCACTTTTTTCTTTCGGGTAAAGAGTCTGATTCACCGCATCATGCTTGCAAGGTGTGGGAGCTCCCAGCCAAGTGATAGCGGCAACCTGTTTACGAGCATCAGACCCGTAGGCCCACGACCAACATTTTTCAGGGGCGAAGGACAGGCGCATGGCACCAGCAAACTGCTGAAGTAGTTCAACCGCCTTTGCAACGTGGCACGGTCTGTCACCTATAATCTCCCAATTATCAGCGTAACAACTGAAGAGAATGGGCGCAGTGCGCATAGTAAAGGAAGCAGCTGACCATGACATCACATACATAGCAAGAATACTGAGTGGATCTCCTTCTGGGTAACCTGTGGAGGACACCTGGAAGCCACCTATCCAACCATTAATAAGCAACGATCTCCCCAGGGAGTGGAGTGCACTCTTCCAGGCATGAAGAATCTGTGCGGGAAATCCGAAGTGTTCGCACAAGGCAAAAACAATAGAGCGACATAGCAAGTTGAAAGCTTTCACAATGTCGAAGACGCAGCCTGCTACCGGTCTGGCTCCAACGCTGGCTTCCTGCAAGACTAAGCTATTGTAAGTCCACATTACTGAAGTTGGCAATCTTGGGAGGCAACGAGAATTTGGCACAATGATCAACTAGAACTGCTGTTCGCATACGCGCCCACAGTCTGTACAATCCGCCGAAACAGAGCCTTCAACTTTGCGAAGCAAAATGACAAAGGATTGCAACAAAATGGGCGGCCATTTTCCTCCATGCTCAACAGCTCGAAAAATATCTAGCAGGGTTTGGCTTGCTGCATCGGACAAAAGACGAAGCTTGGCAATGGACCATGCATCAGCACCACGCATGCTACAAGTTCTGGATTTCCAGGAGGGAAGGCTACGGATAATTGCCATGGCTTCAGCTGGAACACCAAGCTGAAAATCATCCCGCTTCCAAAAGGAGTTCCAACCCTGAAAAAATTGGCGGCCACATCATCCGGAGTGGTGAAAGCACAGATCTTGCACAATTTACCAGCCTTGCAGGATTGGGGACGAGAGTTCCAAGGCATTTCGGCGGGTCCTGATCACTTTCACAGTTTGATGATCGAGGACACCAAGACAATCTCCGGCCTCAAAGTCGTGCGCATTGGAACAACGCACCACCGTCCTACCCAACACAGGCCACTGTTGCGGCAACAATTTTAACGGGATACGAGACACGGACTTGTGTGGAGTCCCGGATAACCGCAAAGGCAAGACGTCCACCTTTCGTGCTGAAAGATGTGGCAACAGCCTCGGTAAAACGCTGCCTTCGTGCGTGCCCAACCTGAGTAGACACTGTCATGAGGTGCTGGTACATGAGATTCCTCAGCAGCTCCAAGTGTGCATGCCCAGGCAAGGCAATGGGACAGAGGGTTTGAATGTAGGGGCAGTAAGGATGGCACGCCAAGTGCATGCAATCTGAGCATCATCAAGCGTATCTTTGGACACCAGTCTGCAGAGAGCCTGAAGCCTACGACATTGTCGCAGTCGTTGCCTACACATCAAGGTGGGGGTATCACCAGCCAATTGAAAGTCTCCAGGCCGACCGGCTTTCAAGCGCGGTTCGCACAAGGAGGTACGTACAGACCGAAATCCCCCACACCTAGACACAGCATTGTTGGCAAGGTGAGCGACTCAAACAGGGAGTTCTCTGCAGCGCGAGACCACAAGGCAAGGGCAGAGTCCAGGTTCTCTTCTTGCTGTATGGCCAGAGCCACGTCGGCATATTGATGCTCATCAGCAATAGTCTTGGTCTCCGGGCAAAGAATCACGTCCCCAGGAGTGATGTTCGCAGGCCTAACCAACTTGATACCGAACCCAATGCACTGAGGGACATCCAATTGCACCACAATCGGGTCGTGTGCATCCAGCTCCAAAAAGGTCTCAACCTGAACAGTGGACACAAGGGGAAGCAAGGCCGGGTTGCCTAAGACAAAACTATGCCGGGAGGAATTCTTACAAGTATTCTGAGGTTGGAGTCCATGACGTTCTTGCATGACCACTGCAAGGTCACGCCAGCCTGAATCCCAGATACGCTGCAAGGACTGGAACTTGGAAAGGTGGTCATTGAAATCACCAGCTATAATACAGGGGCCCTCAAACGCAGACACCAAGTCAACCGCAGCCGACAACAAGGTATCATTGAAAGCAACAACTTCATTCCCACAACCTGGGCGACAATATACAGTCACCATACGAATTGGAAGGTGGCCAATCTGCAAAACACATGGGAGCACCCGACAAGAGCGGCGTATGCACTCACTGACAAGATGCAAATTTGAGAAAACGGGGCAACGGGAAAGAACAGCAACCCCAGCGGATCTTCCACGCAGTGAGTTAGTACCATCGCGTTTAGCAACACGAGCCGGCACAGCCTCAGACACAGATACATGCATTCCACACTTCTTGACATCGGAGAAGATAGAGCGAAGGGCCGCGCAGAGGTATGCGAAGTTTCCGACAGCGCCCACGCATCAATGTTCCATTCAGCCAAGAGGTGAACTTTGTCATACAACTGGGTGGGGTTGACCACCCCAACACGGAAGGGCTTAGGGCCCCTCACTCACCTTGCGAACTTTGGCCTGAGATGTGAGGAACAACTCCTTGAGTTCCAAGAAACCGCTATCAACTTTGGCTTCAACACTGCAAAGGCGTTCACAATGTGATCGCCAGCTGTCTTCGAGCTGCGATGCGATGAGGGCAGGCACAGCTTCGACTTTCTCAACCAGCTCGTCGTGTGCTCCAGACATGGCGACAAGCTGCTTCTCGATGGCGTCCAAGCGACTACTATGCAGCGCAAGCTTTGAGCTCTTCGGCAACCTGCTGTCTGACAGTATCAAGTCTAGCATGCGAACCACTGTCCCAGACGTCAGCGGATGTCTCAGAGGAACCAAACGCGAGTGAACTGGTTGTCATGGTCTCGGCAGAAGCAAACCTCCTAGAGGCACCAGCTGCAAAAACCTTGGAGTCAACAACTGCTGCGAGCTTCATGATGACAATCTCAGCCGAGCCATATGCAAAGCTTCGGCATGGCGGTTCAGCACTAGAAGCAACTTGCCAGGACCTCCATCCGGTGGAGGTGAGGGACCATACCTTCCAACCAAGCTGACGCAAGGCACGACGCACTCCAGATCGATCAAGTGTCTCAGGGAGACCAAGCACGGTCCATGATACAGCTCCATCTGGGGCTTCACTGTCAGTGGACTCATCTGGGTTCAGTACCTTCTTGGATGACTTATAAGATGCGATTCTGACACGGATGCCAAGCAAACCCTTACGCGACCTGGAAAGTCCACAGGCAGAGGGGCCAAGTTTGGATTGGAGGGCAAGCACCTTCTCGAAAGGCAACGCCGGGAAAGACATGACACGAAAACGGGGATCAACACCACGATCAGGCCCCTTTGGTGTCAGATACACACCTACGGCACCAGATACACGCAGGGCTTCATCAAGATGCTTGTCTTCGACACGAACAACGCTGTGGTAGTATTCAGCATCCACAACGGAAACCTTGGCGGCGCCTTTATAGAAGGAGGAAGCCCACTCCGTGGCAAAAAGCTTGTGCTGCACTAAGCCGGTCTTCTGCAGGTAACAAGTCAAACCGTTGGCAAGGTCAGACCAGTGGGCTACAACCTCAAACCTATGCACATGCACCATAAGGACAGTGGTCTCAAAGGCGGCACAAGCAGTCAACCTCTTGCTACATGATGGCCACGTGAGAGGGACATCACCCGTTTGCACAAGCGTGACACGAAAGGCTGCGGGCTTATTGGCGGACCAGCCGGGCACGAGCTGATGTGACATACGGTCGGACACAAGGTCAAGGCGTCCAACAATCACAATAGCAGACGCGCCCACAGTCAAGGTCCCTCCCAGAACAGCATCACAATGTTTCGTCCACTCATCGGGGCTAATGCAGCTAATCCCTTCCTCACCATGCAACAACGCAGCAAGGGACACGGCAGGGGGAGACGGACAACCTTCCTCGGCAAAGAAAGACAGATCAATCTTGGAGCCGTTGAGGAGGTGGCCAGTTCGCTGCTTTCGTCGCTCCTTCTTCTTGGTCGGCTTGTTGGATGTCGCACCTTTGGCCCGCGGGTCATTGACTTGCAAGTGATCCACGGCGCGTGCCGCAGAAGAGGATGCAGTCGAGACAGCAATGCTGAGGTCAGTGCACAAGGTGCGGAAAGCAGACCAGGTGTTGGCTTCAGTCAGGATGGCAGCAACACGTTTCATGCCAGCTCGTTGAACGAAGGTCTTATTCTTTCGCTTAGCTCGCGCCTGACTTGAGCCAAAACTTGGGCGAAGCCCTCCAAACGCACTCGCAGTACCTACGCATTACTTACATACCAGAAGACGCAATATACTTGTCGCATGTGTGTGACATCACTGAATCTGCACATGAAGCGGCACTCTTTTCTTCAAAGCGCAAATGGGGCGATTCAGGTTGCCTCACCCGCATCCAAGCGGCTTAGGGCTAGGCTGAACATTCTGAAGTCGGGGCGGGTTAAAGCCAGGCAAATGCTGGCAGGGTGGGACGACTTCAAGCCTCTCTTGTATTTTTACAAAAGAGGCAACCCTCCCTACCCACCCGAGCCTATATGTCCACATGCATTCACATGTGTGCGAGTGTGGTTGCGTGAACCAACAAACTCAAATGCCTAAAAACTCAAGTCAGTTCGTTTTACAAATGCCTGTTTGTAAAACTCCGCAAGCTTTTTGCTCAAGAATAAGGTATCCATCTCTGCGAGAGTTTCAACTTATTCTTTCGCTTAGCTCGCGCCTGACTTGAGCCAAAACTTGGGCGAAGCCCTCCAAACGTACTCGCAGTACCTACGCATTACTTACATACCAGAAGACACAATATACTTGTCGCATGTGTGTGACATCACTGAATCTGCACATGAAGCGGCACTCTTTTCTTCAAAGCGCAAATGGGGCGATTCAGGTTGCCTCACCCGCATCCATCCCAGTTACACTCGTGAGGCCTGCTACTTTGCAGATGTCACTCCATGCAAACTGTGTTCTCTGGCTGCCCTGTTCTTCCAGGCTTTGGCAGACTCCTCTGCTTGGGGCGTCAGCCGGGTTCGACTCCGTGGGCACTCGTGCAAACCAGGGTCTGAACTGCATTTGGAATTCAAGTTTGCAGAAACTCTCAACAAAGGCTCCAACACGTTTGGTAGCTCCTGTTCCCTTGAGGAGCGAGCTTTTGGCGCCTTCATTGTCCACATAGCAAACCACTTGTGCGTTCCGGAAGCAATCTCCCCATACCACTGCCGCGACTAGCACCGGGAGTATTTCGAGTTCGTAAATTGGGTGCTTTGACTCCTCTAATAATTGGTTCATGACCTCATCAGGAACCACTTCTGAAAAATGGAACATCAGCTGACCTGTCTGATTGTAAAGGACTCCACCAATTGAACCTCTGATGGGCTCAGTGCCTTCACACGCTCCATCCGTAAATAAAAACCACGAATTGCCACAAGTCTTTGTGATCAGCACTGGAGGGCCAGTCAAAACCCGCTCCCTGAGATCCTTGAAGTGTCTGGCCAAGTTCTGTCCAATTTCCACTTTCGACTTGCTGCCTTCAAACGCCATCCTGATCTGTTTCAGAGCATAGTTGGCAAGCCTACCCCAGACGAAACTTTCGAACCAAACCATGCGGCCACGCAACCTCTCCGCCTCCTTTGCTGTCAACTGTCCCTTCTGCAAAATGTCTTCAATCTCGTCCGCCAGTTCTTCCCTGCGGTCAGGAGTGTGAAAAATTCTGCAAATGCCCGAACCCAAGTTCTCAAGACCCACCATCAGTCCCAGGGTCTTGAAGGTGTCTGCAAAGTCCACACACTTCTTGCCTGTCCTTGCAAAACGAACTCCCCACAAGGTGAACAGTGCCTCTGCTGCGTAGCCCGCAGATTTGCAGACATCTTCCCTAGAAAGCAAAGTATAGTCGTCAAAGAAACTGCTCCACAACAACTGTAACCCTGCCAGTCCTGCATACGCCAACCCCGAAGAAACTCTGAGGAAACCAGCCACCGATCCCACTGCCCCAAAGGGGAGAGCATTAGACCCGAAAAATCGAAGCTTACCACTCTCAGTGTCTTTCGCAACTAATCTCGAGATCGCTCTATCTGCTGGGTGTACCGCATATTGCTTGTAAGCCGCTTCCAAATCGTAGGTGCGACCCAGGACTCTGGGATGCGCGCTCGCCTCGCAGGTGTCCAAAGAATACGCGATCATGGCGGCCATCTCGTCCACGGCTTGCACTCTCAGCTTTTCTTTCAAGCCGCACGTTTTGTTCAAGCCCCCAACGGTGTAGTCATCAATGACTCGCACCTTTTCCTTTTGTTGCAGCCCAAATCTCTTGGCGAGTAAGACACCGTGCAGGTTTGGAGCAACGTCCTCAAAAATCCAGCCCTTCTCCACTTCTTTGCAGGTCTCCTCCCAGGTGGCTCGGTCCAAGTCAGTCAGCTCCTCTGCACGCATTTGCTTCAATATGCCATGATTCACACCTTTAGCCATTTGCAAGGCTTGCTCAACTCTCAGCTCAGGACGTCGTACCCTTTTCTGAAAGTACCCCGTCTCCGGAAGCCATCCAGTTAATTTGAAGCCCTCCGCCACGTGTTGCTGCAGCATAACATCTGGGTAACCCAGGTCTCTCAACATTTCGCCCATAAGCAAGATGTTCTTGCCCTTGAGGACCACTCGCACATATTCAGGCATCGCTGCATGCAGTTTCTTTTCTTCCTCCTCCAACGCACTCCTTCTGCCAAGCCAGTGCTTAATGAACTCAATGCGCCTCCTGATGATGTCCACCGCTGTGAGGTCTCTGTTGGCTATGACGGCTGCTTTTGTCTCCTTCTGTAGGAAAACCGCAATGTCTCTCGGATGGCCTGCTGCGACCGCTGCTTTGACAAATTCTTCAGGGCTTCTCGGTATTCCCACAACCGCTTTTTCCACCAAACCTGCCTCTGCTGTGGGCATAGGTGGCAAAATGGCCCACTGAAATTGTTGAGCGCAGACCCGTGCCTCCCCCCATGTGCAAATTTGTCTGCGTGTTATCTTGCTGCCCTTAGGCTTCAGCTGCAAGAAGTGCTTCAAAGAGTCCACGTCTTGAACCGGCCCCAAAACCGTCAAATACTGACCAAATTCCGACACGAAGGGGCGCAATTTGCGTCCTCTTGGCATGCCGCCCAGCAGTATGCGGTTGCTGGAGTTTTGCTCATGGGCCTGCAGCTGACTCAACATGTCCTTGGGATCTAAGGCTCCTGCGTTGCACAGTTGCATCTTGATGCAAGATACCATTCGCACACAAAGGACCCAAGGGTAAGCTGCTTCTTCCTTGGTGGGAAAAAGTAGCCCTGTGGCTGTCACCTGTGCTTTGAAGGACTTGTGGGTGTGTTGTTTGTCGCACCTCATGCTGAGCGACGCCAACCAATCAGCGTTGCACTTGAAGAGGGTGTCTTTGTCACGATGTCCACCATGGCAACAATTGTGAAAACGCACATCCCACAGGTCGATCTCTTGCTCCAAACGACACATTGGCGACGTTTTCCAAAAGTGCGAATTGGTCGGGTTTTCCACGGAGAAAAATATGCTGAGTGAATGCGCCAAACTTGCAATTTCGAACACTGCATCGTACAGTTGATTTGCCAGCTCAGTCTTCTTCTTGTCTGCACCTCTCAGCCCGTCCAAACCGTCCGGCCTGTCCTCGGATCTCAACGGGCCTGGCACCAACGATTGCAAATGTTTGGGCACCTTCAACTTCCTTTCTCTAGCTCTCGAAGCAGTGCCACAAGGTGGCGCCAAATGTATCCACACAATGACCGCCTGGTTTTCCTTGATGAATTCCAAAAGCACAACCAATTGCTGTTGCACTGCAAGATCAAAAATTGTGATACTGTGACCTTCAGCTCGTTGCTTCTGATGGTCCACTGCGACTGCCTGAAATCCGGCTTCGTGCGCTGCCTTTGACAGCCTGGCAGTTCCAGCGAACACCTCGATGCAAATGAATTCAGAAATGGGCCTTCCTTCGAAACGCCACAAAAAAGGGTGCAGATCTGCCTGCTGAAAAGCCTTGATGGAATCCTTGACTCCACCCGCTATTTGCTGACTTTCAGCACCATCTTCCCAAGAAACTCTGTTCCTCTTCGATCTGGCGCAGTTTTGACTGTCGGCACCTTGGCCTCCTGCATCCGCCTTTGGAAAAACGATCGAAAGCGGCTGCTCGCCAGTTGTTTGCCTCGCATTCATGGAGTCCTTGCTTCCATGTGCAGTTTGCTGACTTTCAGCATCTGCTGCGCTGGCTTTTGCCGAAAAATTGTGAGAAATGTCGTGACCGCATGCATCTTGGCTTCCAATGCACTTGCCGGAGAACTGAGTCGGCTCCGCCTCCAAATGAGGCCATGATCCCACTGCGCCGACAAGTCAGCTTCCTCCCAGCCTGCACACCATGAAACTGTGTCCCGGTTTGTGACACTTGGCACAAATGTGGACACCTTTGCTGCACGCTTTCGGGTTTCCTTGCGTCGCCAGACTGCATCCTGACTCAAGGTTGAACCCGTAGCAAACTGGTTTGCCGTCTTTGGTCTTTAGCTCACACCCGATCAGCAGCTCCGGGCACCTCGGCCTGGATGCTCGCTTCGCTTGGGGTTTGGCCTTCTTAGCTGGCCTGGTGGCTACCTTGCCTCCACTTGCCTCCTTGGGCGGAGGTGCTGTGGCCACTTTGGCCACTGCAGAGGGTAACGGCAGCAAATGCATAGTGACTCTCGGGTTGTACCTCAAGTCCTGGATGGCTTTATCCAAAGGCCACTTGCCATCTGCTTGAGGCCTCAGGCTTGGCAAGTGCTCCTCTGCTATGGCAATCCACAATTCACGATCGGCTGTCATCAGTTGCGCCACTCTGACTGGGGCATACCCGGTCGGCACTGTCCGGGTCAAAACCCCTAACAACTGCTGCAACCACGATTCATGGACTTCCCAGCTGACAAGGCTGCACTGATCAAAGGCAAGGCCTCTCCTTTGCAGCGCCCACTGCAGCTTCAGCTCTGAACCCAAATCCGCATTGGCTTTGCTGTGATATAGACCGTGAGGAACGCGACTTCTTGCTCTACCTCTTAGGCTTTGACTTCAGTTTGGAACCTGGATTCACAATCGGGTTGATTGGAGCATGCACCGCCGGCATCAAAGGGTCCCTACCGGTCATTTTCATGCTTGCCTGTAATCAGCGTTCTGCCATGTTGCGCCCCTGGCAGGAAGATATGCCCCCGGTAGTGCTTGATCTGTTCGCAGGGATTGGAGGTTGGCTTTACACTGTCGATTGAGTGTTCAGTTGATGCTGCCACCAAGCACGCGATGAATTCAGGTGCCATTGTACATCGTGACCCATGTGTGCCGATTGACCTTTTTGACACTCCGCATGTCTTGCTGGTTTCTCGCATTGAGGATCGTCGATGGTGGCGCTGGCTTGCCCGTTTTCCGGTTGCGAGGCTTGTCGGAAGCCCGCCTTGCCCTCCGTGGAGCTTTGCTGGTGGAAGCCCCAAAGGTCTCGACTGTGCGGAAGGCCTGCTTCTGGCACATGCCTTGTGTTTTGCCCATCTGACATTTTGCACGAGTGGTGGATTTGAGAATGTGCGCACCCTACGTCGGCACCGGCACAGATTTGTTCTCGACAAGATTTACCGGCAACTTTTCGGGTCCAGCATTTCGTTGTTCGACACTGATCTAGCGGTATTATCTGGTTTCAGCCGGCCTAGACTAGTGGTGCTTTTGCCTCGCACAGCCTCCGGTGCTTTTGACGGTGCCAAGATCACACTGCCAGGGTGGTTTGTCACAGACCGGAGCTTTGCTTGGTCTCTCGGAGGCCAGTGACCATTGCTTGCAGCCTGATGAAGGTGCCCGAAGAGTGTTGTCAGATCCTGCTTTGCTTCCGGCCCAGTTCCATCACGGAGATGCACCCCCCAGCGTTGCCTCCGAGGTGCTTCGGGCACGATGCATCTTGCCCACGTCAAAGAGGGTTCCATGCCTGGTTGCGTGTTACCGAAGGCGCAGCACTTGTTGCCCAACCTGCAGGTCAAAGGGTGCCTTGCTTTCCTTGTCTGGGATGACCGCCTGAATGAAGGCTCACAAGTGAGATATCTTGCTGCCTTTGAAGCCGCTCGCATGATGGGATTCGGAGTCAATTGGCTTTTCACCGAAGAAGGCCAGGATGTGCTCAGGCTTGGGAATTGCTTTGCTCCTTTGCAATCCGCCATTGTTTGGTACAAGATCTTCGTCGGAGATGGTATCACACCGGAGCAGAGTATCCTCCACGTCCTATACAGGATGTTGCTGCAAGGTCCGCTTGCATTTGTGATGATTGCACGTTCGTTCCACATTGAAGACCAGCTTGTGCGACGTTTGATCTTAGCCACTTATTTGCAAGGTGAGCGAGCCGTCTATTTGAATGGCGATCGTAGATCTCTTCTTGGCACCACTTCTCGATGCTCTCCTCTCAGCTTTGCCTTCACGACATAAGTCACTGCAGTTTCACATCTTGAGTGCCTGTGCTGGAGATGGTGGATCCCGGTGCCTGGAGGTTTCCTTTCTGCCCGTTCCCTTTCAGGTTGAGCCGCTTGGATTTGTGACCATTCATCCCTGTGAGACCGTCGGATCCTTGCAGGAGTTCGTTGACTCTCAGTGGTATGGTGCACAAGGCTCCACGCGTATCTATGGCGGTGGGCACTCCCTTGACCCAGGAGTTTCCCTGCTGTCGGCCGATGCAGGTGGTCTGTTGCGCGGGTTCGCATTTTCGCCGGTGTGGGTGGTGGAATGACTGCCCTGCAGGCTCAGCTTAAGCTCGAGCAGATGTGTTTGGATCAAGGAGTACCGCATGCTCCTTTCCTGGTCAAGTTGAAACTCTCGCAGAGATGGATACCTTATTCTTGAGCAAAAAGCTTGCGGAGTTTTACAAACAGGCATTTGTAAAACGAACTGACTTGAGTTTTTAGGCATTTGAGTTTGTTGGTTCACGCAACCACACTCGCACACATGTGAATGCATGTGGACATATAGGCTTGGGTGGGTAGGGAGGGTTGCCTCTTTTGTAAAAATACAAGAGAGGCTTGAAGTCGTGCCATGGGGATTTCAGTGGTTTACTGGATGGTTCATCCGATTTAGCAGTGTGTGAAGAAGTTTTCTTTGCAATTATGGCAGATGACAGCGCTGCACTAGATTTGGAGGAGGCTTTGGGATTCGGTGACAGCAACTACGAACCGTCCTCGGGAGTTGGGCAGTCAGAGGCATCTTTTGACATGAGTGAAAGCGACAGAGTAGTTGGGTCTGGTTCTGCTGGCAGTGCTTGCCCGGCAAGAGTTGAGCATTTCAGCAGGCTGGGGACTACTATTGAGGCTACCTGGCGTGCCCTGCCCGGTGAACAAATCAAATTTCCATGGGAGACGGGTTTCTGGAACAGCTTCATGGCTACAGATTCGCTCACGCCTGTTCTGGACAACCTTTTGAAGTTCAAGAGACCGACGGCACCTCTTGTGGAGCTGGCGGTCGAAGAGGAGCGGGCTATTCAAGAAACAAGCGTCAGTGCGAGAGCCTGGAAGGAACCTAGACGTACCACAAGAATTTTTTCAGCAGTGGTCAAAAACATCGAGGTGAAGACCTGGCAAGAGGACCGTGACGCCCAGCTCCAAAGAGCTATGGCCCGCTGGCATGAGTTGGTGATGGTGTGGAATGACACTTCGAAGGCCAAACAGTTGATGCTTGATTGCGAAACAGTGGAGAACCAAACAAACATGCTGGCAGATATTTTTGCTGGCAGGGCGCCTGCTACCATCAGCAAGCGAGCAAACAGCATGTGGAAGTTTTGCGACATGCTATCCAAGAATGGAAATTCCTTTCCATGTTCGGAAGCAGTATGCTACAATACGTTGTGTTTGGACAGACAAGCAGGTGGCAGCATTGCAAAGCGCAAAGCAATCCTGGAAGCGATCGCTTTTTGCCGTTTCGTGTTGGGAGAGTCTACTTGCGGTGACATTCCAACAAAGCAAGAGATGTCATGGAACGGCCATGTCCAAACCCACTGTTGATTCACATCAAGCTTCTCCGTTGACATGCAAAGAACTGGCGTATTTACATACATTGGTTTTTTCGGCAGCGGATGTCTGGGATGCTATTTTTGCGGGCTCAGTTTTGTTTATGACCTACGCGCGCAGCAGGTGGACGGATGGTCAACATGTGGAACGCCTGTCCTTCGAACACGACTTTCAAGGAAAGGTTGCGTTCATTGAAGGAGCAGTGGGCATTCATAAAACAAGCAGAGCCAGCCAGTTCAGACATGCTCATTTGCCACTCACTGCATTCACGGATGGTGTGCTTGATGACGGTTGGGCGGAGACCTGGCAGTCCAAGAGGCTGGCAGCAGGAATACAGGACCCGCCTAGCATGCCACTCATGCCGGCCCCCAACGTCCAGGGGTCACCTACAGTGCGGCCCTTAAGCACCATGGAAGCTGGCGAATGGTTGAAGAGACTTTTGCTTGATGGCAACTTCTGTTTGGACAACCGGCGCATCACCTCTCACACCATGAAGTGCACGGTTTTGTCGTTTGCAGCGAAGAGAGGCATCTCTTTGGATGACCGTTTGACTCTGGGTTATCATTCAGGGGGACACAAGATGGCCCACAGATATTCCAGAGACGCCCTGGCCCGACCCTTGGCGTTGGTGTCTCGAATGATGGAAGAGATCAGGACGGGCAAGTTCAACCCAGAGGAGTCTCGAGGCAATCGACTGCTGTCGCATTTGGAGGTGGACGGATTAGGAGGTGGCAAGCTGCTGACGGCGAAACCAAAAGCAGGAGCCTCAGTTCGTCCTGTCAAGCAGAGTTTTTCAGACAGTTTGCATGGTGCTGGTATTTGGGAAGAAGGTTCGCTGTTGAAATCTTTGGATGAGTCATGGACGGCGGTGGAAGAAACATCATCAGGAGCGTTTGTGGGAATGACTCACGACAGCGTTCAGGAGCCAGTTGTAGCAACAGGCTTCAATGATGAGGACCCAACAGAGGCGGTGTCGCAGTCTGGAGGTCATTGATGCGTCCCATGAGGAACCGTGTGACAGTGACTCTGAACAGGAGGGCACCAGCTCATCAGGCAGTGATTCCGACATCCCTGTGGTGGAGCCCATAATCAGGCAGGCGCCACTCGCTCCGTCAGGCACGAAGTTGGTTATGCATCGTGTACACAAGACACTGCACTTGGCGTTTGAGGAACACAAGAAAATCCTCATCTGTGGGAGGCAAATCACAGACAAATTTACGGAGCAAGCTGTCTCGAGGTGGGATTCCCCTACTTGCCGCCAGTGTTTCAAATCGACGCTAGTGGCTTCAGCGAGGGCTTGAAGAGCAAGGCTATACCTCGGCGAAGGCCTGAGATGTGTGCGCCTCCAAGGAAAAGGTGTTGAGCGAGTTCCCTAACGGAAGAGTACTGGGTCACGTTTCCTTGAGCATATCAGCATGTCCGGAAGTGTCAGGTGAAGCTTGATGTTGAGTTTCGGATGTGTTCTGCCATAGTTGTGGATTTGAGACGGCTTGCATCGAAGTGCGCAATTCCAAAGATGCCGTCCGACCGTGATAGCAGCCTTAGTCTTTGTGACAGTCTCGGGTGAGTTTGTGGCCATGACACAAACGTCAAGACAGAGACAGCTGACACTCTTGCAGTTTCCAAGAGTCAGGGAAAGCGGGTTTTGTTTGTTTCTTGTCACGCGTTTAGATTTTTCTCCAAGCATGGCACTGGTGGACAGCAAAGCCGCTTTCTCGCAAAGATGCGATGAAGTGGATCCGAGTGGGGCGCTGAAGCAGGCCCTTGACAGAGAAGGTTTGTCCACGTTCTCCCAAATGGCCTTCG